TGCGCTCGACCAGACCAGTGGGGCATATTCAAGTAGGGGTCGCACGAATCCCTTGTAGACCGTCACTCGACCATGGTCGTGCAGGATGGGTGCTGCCTTTCGTAGGAAACCCAGCCTTTGGGAGGCGCGCAGTGCAACACTGCGAGTGTGCGCTCTGTAGGAGAGAGTAGGGTCGAGCATGACTCCCAGCAGCTTCAGGGTATCTGTCTCCTGGAGTGCTTCCCCTCCAAAGGTGACCGGTGGAGTGCAGGGGGGAACGTGCTTGCGATGTAGAGTCATGCGCTGTGTCTTGGCTGGCTCAAAACAGATACGCCACCTGCGGCCCCACTCCTCAAGACTGTTGAGGGACCCTTGGAGGGAGGCAGTGGACTGTTGGAGATCGTCAGTTGGCTGTACTAAGGTGTAGAGTGTGGTGTCGTCTGCAAAGCTGCTCAACTGCGTTCCTGGAGTTAAACATTGTTCAATGTCAGAGGTGTATAGAAGGAGGAGGCTGGGTCCTAGGATGCTGCCTTGGGGGACACCAGCCTGGATGGGTTGAGCATCTGACGTCTGGCCTCCAACCACAACGCGGATGTTTCGGTTGGTGAGGTAGTCCTGTAGCCATACAAGCAGGCGTCCGTCGACGCCGGCCTGCTTTGCTTTGTACAGCACTCCTGTGTGCGATACCCGGTCAAACGCACCGGCAATATCCACGGCGAGGACCTGGACACAACCGCCAGTACTTATGGTGTGGACCCATTCATGTTGGAGAGCCGTAAAGATATCTGCGATTCCTCTACCACGTCGGAATCCAAACTGGCTGTTTGGCAACACCTCATGCTTCTCTAGGTAGTTGACCAGTTGCGTGTTTACAATTCCCTCCATGACTTTCGACATGATCGTTAGCAGTGATATTGGTCGGTAGTTAGATGCCAAAGATCTGGAGGACCGCTTGTGAACCGGGACTACATGGGCAAGTTTCCATGCCCCAGGTTGCACACCGGCTAAGAAGCAGAGCTCGTACGATTGGATTTGTTTACTCGAGTCTGGGCTGTTTGATTGTGAGTAGCGCCGAGACTGCACTGCCCCAAATAAAATTGTGTGCCGGCAAAGCAAGAATTACAATCTGCAATCTGTTTGTAGTACCTGCAAGAATGTGCTGTACATAGGGACCGGCGGATTCTGCTCGAAAAGGTGGCAGATTCTGCTCGAAAAGCAGTGAAATTGGCAGAACCATACAAACCTTATGGGGGGCAATTCCTCGAATTCTGCTCCATTTTTTCATCCACATACCCAACATGCATGAAACTTACCAGAAAAAGTACCGAATTCTGCCAATTTTTCTGCCGGCAGAATCCGCCTGACCCTAGCTGTACATGAATCGTATTTCCTCTGTTGCTGTTTCAGTTGCTGTCATGTTGCTAAAGAAAGGTTCAGTGACTCATTTGTCTCATACGAGGCGAGTCAATGAGTCGGTCTGGCTTAGAACCTTTCGCTGTAGAAGAAATCTATTCGTATCTATTGGAGAAATAATTGCATTCATTGGTTATAAAATAGGGTTAAGACAAACTCACAGAACAAAATACCATCGGTTCCTTGGTGTTCGTCCTAGGCTAAAGAGGTTCGACTGGATATCATTCATACTCACCAAAATATGTATAACACTTTATTAAAAGTAGAAAGGAAAAGGGCATATGGAACGAGTTAAGAGTAACTCTCCACCACTGTAACTAGATACTATATACAGTCAGAAAGTGCAACAACTAGGCCCAAACTGACAGAGTACTGAGACATTCGACGTCCTGACACCTAGCTTCAACACATCTCCGTAGCGCTAACCGACAGCCTTCCAACTCGGAAGGTTCAAGGTTATGGAAATTTGTTAGTGCCTTGTTTATCTCTCAGTACCTCCAACCATAATATCCCTGCCCCTTACATGTATATCCTCAGGATCAGTGTAGTTGTTGGGACGAAGTGTCTGGCTCAACAATGTATTTGTCTACATGTTAATACATCGTAACATGTTTATTTTTCCTCCTTTGCTGTGTTGTTTTTAGACAATCGTGGACTAACACTTTGAAGTCATTGAACTACTTCCAAGAGCTGTATCGACGTTAACATGATTACGATTTCAGTGCAATATTATGCAGTATGGTATGGTATGGTATTGATTTATTTGAATTCGGTATCTCAACAGTACATTGTACAACTTGGGAAGATCCGATGACCTTATCACGACAAACCCATGACTACAATTATAAACACAGAATCAACAAAAACATCTGCGACACAAAAAAGGGAGAGCACCTTTGGGAAAGGGCTAACAGCATGACCAGCGTATAAAAAAAAAGTATCACCACCACTACCCACATGTTTCCAATGCACAAGAACATGATTATGCAAGTGCCATTTTCTGCAAGAAAAGGCTTGCATGATTATCAATGCGTATAATACGGTATTGATATGATGTAGAGGCCATCATCTAGGGCATTCGTCGATTGGTGACATAAAAAACAAGAAATTTAGCAATAAAAACTGCTTTATGGCAGCTTTCTAAAAAAAAGGTATTGTGTTCTAGTCCTGGGTCGACCGGTCCTTTATAAAATTGCTTCCAAACTGGCCTGTCTAAAAAGTAAGAAATTAACGAAATGTGATTGCCGAAAATTTCACACAAAACCTCACAATAATCCCACACAGGATGAAAAGCGAGAAGACCTTTCCCCCTCGTATAGCCCTTTCCCAAAGGTGCTCGCCCTTTTTTCGCCCTTTTTGGAAAAGCCCGTTTCTTTCGCCCTTTATTGCGTTTTTGGTGAATATCGCCCTTTTTTGAGCTTTTTTAGCTGATAAAGTGCTAAAATCTGTTTGCTCATGCATGCCATCACAGTTTCCGAGTGCTCCATGGGCCTTGGCACGCCACTTTTTGGGGGCAAGAAGTAATTAGTTGGTGAAGCTTGTACATAATGCTGTAAAAAGTGGTTTGTTTTTTAACTTTACTTCCTGTTTTGCCTTTCGTGGACCCATAAATGGAAGAGTTCGTATTCATTTCTCAGCTTGGGTTCATATCTGAACATGTTGCATGGCTATATGCTTCACTGAAAAAGAGCACTTTTTTGCCTGTTTTCACTGAAAAAAGAGCACTTTTTCAGCATATTTTGAGGGACGCGAAAAGCACTAAGTGCGAATTAAAGGAGCACCTTTGGGAAAGGGCTACCCTCGTAGCCTCTTTACCATGAGTCCAAGGCAATTTGGAAGCAATTTGATAAAGGACCGGTCGACCCAGGACTAGAACACAACAACTTTTTTTAGAAAGCTGCCATATTTAAAGCAGTTTTATTGCTATAATTTCCAATGGGGTCGAGCACGCGTCTGCAGTACAGTACGGTATCACAGACTGTGACAGAGTCATATGATCGTACGAGGATACAATCAATCACGTCCCTGACAAGAAGTCAGGGAGGGGCGGATAGGAGAGACGGGGCGTTCTGGCGAGATTTTACGGGTATGCATGTCGAGACTAGAGAGGTTAAGTTGCACGTTTTTTGCCCTTTTTCAAAACGCGGTGCAAATCTCCCGTTACGTGTAGTTTTTAGAGGTTAAGTTACACGTGCGACGTGACGTGAAATTTTGCCTGGCAGGATTCAGGTTTAGTTCGCACAAATATCAAATTTTCCAACAAACTCGATACAACTCGATAAAACTCCGGAAACTCACACAAATTCGATCGGGATAACCAAGCGAAACTTCCAAAAACCCACGTCATGAACTTACGTGCGGACAGTCAACTCACGTAAAACACGTCAAATTTTACGTGAGTTTTTTTACTTTTGACGTAAAAGTGCACGGACGTAAGAATTTTACGTGAAACTTAACCTCTCTAGTGCGTCGTTTGCCCCGGTGGTCATGACGGCGTCAGGTGGTTTTGGGCGTTCGGCAACCAGCCTGTATAAGAGAATCGCATCGCTGCTGGCTGACAGACGTAATGAACCATATTCACATGTCATGGCATTTGTCAGGTGCCACATTTCCTTTGCCCTCCTAAGGTCATGTATAATGTGCCTTAGAGGGTCTAGAACATTATTTGGAAAATATCAACAAAGAATGGATCAACAAGAGCCTCCCGCCACGCTGGCGGTTTCAGAGGCTGCTATTGCTGTTTAGTAATTTTTTATTATAATATTTTTTAGGGCTTTGTTATGTCATCGTATGTATTTGTGCAGGCGTTGTGGCCGGATTCCCAGTTCGTGGCAACTACTGTACACACACCCTCTCAACCAGGTCACTAATCACCATGCTGTACACACACCCTCTCAACCGGGTCACTAATCACCATGCTTTACACAGACTCTCTCAACCAGGTCACTAATCACCATGCTGTACACACACCAGGTCACTAATCACCATGCTGTACACACACCCTCTCAACCGGGTCACTAATCACCATGCTGTACACACACCCTCTCAACCGGGTCACTAATCACCATGCTGTACACACACCCTCTCAACCGGGTCACTAATCACCATGCTGTACACACACCCTCTCAACCGGGTCACTAATCACCATGCTGTACACACACCCTCTCAACCGGGTCACTAATCACCATGCTGTACACACACCCTCTCAACCAGGTCACTAATCACCATGCTGTACACACACCCTCTCAACCAAGTCACTAATCACCATGCTGTACACACACCCTCTCAACCAGGTCACTAATCACCATGCTGTACACACACCCTCTCAACCAGGTCACTAATCACCATGCTGTACACACACCCTCTCAACCAGGTCACTAATCACCATGCTGTACACACACCCTCTCAACCAGGTCACTAATCACCATGCTGGACACACACCCTCTCAACCAGGTCACTAATCACCATGCTGTACACACACCCTCTCAACCAGGTCACTAATCACCATGCTGTACACACACCCTCTCAACCAAGTCACTAATCACCATGGTTACTGTGTGTCGTGCGCAAAAGAACAGCACATGCAGGCCACTGTAACAATCTCAATGTCCACGTGAAAACGAGAGAGTCACACCCCCTCCTTTCCCCAAGGTGAATGAATCTAGGGCGAGAGATTTGCAGTTTAAAAGATACCATGTGCCAGTGCTTTAGGAAAGTAGAAATCATTTATATAAATGGCTGCTTTGGAAATTGCGGTGCCTTGAAAAATGAAATAAAAGGTGCTTTGAAAATAGAAGTACGAAGGCAAAGAGACAGTAAAAATGAACAAGTGCAGGAATAAAAAACGAGCAGAATGTGATTACGCATACCGGTTCAACCGGCAACGGCAATTATTTGTGAAAATGGCTGCTGTGAAAATAGCACTTCCTTAGAAAAATTTAAGGAGTTGCCCTTTGAAAAAGCATTGCAAAAAGTGAAAAAGGGCAGCCAAAGTGAAAAAGGATAGGCAGAAATGGGGCCGCGCAGAAGCTGATAATTCTATGAGCATACCGGTTCAACCGGAAAAGAATTTAAACAAATGTTCCGCTATTCGACATGATGACGTCGGACTAGTGCACTGCTTTTCCAGCAGTGTCTAAGCTCAAATAGTCAAATACGGACCTAAAGCGAGGTTCTAAGTCACAGAGATGGAATGTAGAGATAATGAGAATAAAAAGAAATTGAATGACAATTCAACACAACTCAGACAATCTATCTAGACTCTACACATGGGTCAGGTACTGTGCATGGAGCGAAGGGCACGCGCGGGGGAATCCAGCATTCTGGTTCCGTGCCACTTTGCCCCAGCACGCGGGGCCCATGGTGCTGCACTGCTAAGGAGTGAAAAAATACTTTGTGATCATGTACCAATAAAAGGAGCTAAGTAGAAGCTAAGGGAGAGCAGTCTCTAGCGAGTCATGTAGCAATTGAAAGACCAAGAAGAAGAAGAAGAAAGGCATATTCAAAGGAAGTAGTGCTTACGATAGCGAATGCAGCAGGCAAATGAAGAATATCGCGACTTAATGAGTGAGTGGGAGCGAGAGACTGGGTGAGAGCGAGAGCAAGCGAGAGTGAGAGAAAGTGATGGAGAAAGCTCAGTCTAGAGTCTGAGGTGAAGCAGAAAAACGGACAGAAAGACGTAACGGCAGACAGACAGAAGGACTCACAGGAAGAGAGAGAGACAGACAGAACAAATTCTCGCCGCGATCCAGTGTTGATCAATCATGGCCACCATCACCATCACCACCATCATCCTGTGTCCATACACAAGAAAACAACAAGACGCAGTAATAACTAATTGTACTACACGTACACAGGGCAGAACAACAGAGACGAAAAATCCTTCTCGTGATTCCGAGTTTCGTGCTTCAAAAAACACTCATCAGACGAATGATGAGTGTTTTTGAAACACGAAACTCGGAGTTACGAGAAGGATTTTTGGTCTCTGTTGTTCTGCCCTGTATGGTAGGCTCTGCCCCTTTTTGAGGTATTGAGCAGTGTTTGCAGCAAAGACTACAGACACTTTGTGTACTGTATGTACAGTAAAACCTGGTGTAAGCGACCTCTGGTTTTAGCCACCACCTGCTCTTAACGACCGTTTTTCCATGCACCGACAGATCTACACTGATCCTGTTGGACCTGGTTCCAACGACCACCTGGCTTTAACGACCGCTTTTGCTTGCACCTAGGTACCATGGGGTGGTGCTTGCACCGTGGTACCGTGGGGTGGTGCTTGCACCGTGGGGTGGTGCTTGTACCGTGGGGTGGTCTCTTAAATCAGGTTTCACTGTACAGTGATGGCAACTGAAATCCGACCCCTGACTTTCATGCTCGAGTGCGGCGCCGATTATATAGTGCGTTTCAAGAATATAGATCTCTAGACTTTTTCACATAATTCAAATTCGGTTGGAGCTTTTTCAGAAATTTCTTCGGGATATTGCTCAGGCAGCTCCCCCAATGTTACTCATATTTTAATTTGAAACCTACTAACTTTCTAGGCGATTGGATAACACACGTCCATTTTCGGAAAATTGTTATGCACAAAATGATCACAGATTATGTGGTATAAATGCTGACCTAAGGTTCTTTTTTGAAACCAGAGGTCAATACTTTTGAACACACAGTAGCGGTCTCTTGGCAGTGTAGAAACGTGTGCTGGTTTGTTTTTGGAATCAATGTGAGTGCACCGAGCTGTGGTCGGATTTCAGTCGCCACCATTGTAGTGAGTATTAGAGCGGGACAGCCATGAAGTGAACAACACAACAATGTATACTGTACACTGCATGGCAAATTTCTTTTTTTAAATTCACGATTCGAGTCAGACTCGGCGAGAGGCCGAGTTTTCCGCATCCGTAGGAACGCCACCACCCTTCAAGGGTCAAGACGCAGATGCAGCTCCCGAAGCGGTGGGAGGTGAGGAGATCAGCTCACCAGCAAAGTGGTCAAAGATCGAAAATCCCATTCACTGACAGCTGAGACGACAATTTCAGGCATGCCCCGTTACCAGGGATACCGCACAAAGCCAAAGGCTTGACCCTCTATGCGATAATAAATTATACACATACGTATGAGCGGTTTTCTAGGACACAAGAATGCTATCAGACAGGAGAACAGAATAGTCTCCAAGAAGCAACATGTCAAAATGCCGCTTACACTGCCAGCCCTATGAATCTTTTCGCCCGAAAAAGACAGCTATTGCAATCCCCGACACCGTCCAGCTTCTCGACTGTCAGCAGTGTACACTCATGTACTGTTTTACTACTGGCATTGCGTCATGTGCAGACAGACCGGTGAGAAACAACAACTCGCAACCAAGTGGAAACAAAGCGGTTGCTTTGGATAGGGGAGAGCCGCACAGATACAAACATCTGTATAATATACACCAGGCTGTGCACGAGGAAATGAGACTCAGAAAGTCTCTCGGCTCCAAACGCACGTGCGTTCCGAGCATGTAGAATGTACTAGAAAGACATAGGAGCACGTTTCCAATGGACAGACAGGGATTGCGTACCTTTTTTCACACGACGCTCGGGTGGCAGCAGGTTGTTCATGTCTTCCAACAGTTCTGGGTAAACTTTCAACTCCTGAATAACCTCGCACAGCGCAACATATCCATAGCGACGTGACGACTGAATCCACCCGATCAACTCGTTGTTATGCGTTTCGCTCGACATCTTCTCCAACCTCTTCACTTGGCTCTTGGTTAGTAATCCCTTCTTCTGCAACCTCTGCCTTAACTCGACACCGTCAACATCTTTCAATGGCACGTCGATTTTCGCCACATAGTCGGGGTGGTCGAATGGGTCATCAAAGACTGCATAAACATCAATGAAAAGAGCATGCAAGCAGCCATGCAGGATACACTGAACACAGAATAATGACAACTTCAGGATAAAGCTCACTGGAGTTAGACTTATTAATAACCGGCCGTCACACAGTGGTTGCAGTGCATATCGGCAAAGTGTTTCCCCAAGTGCGATACGAAGAATGCATCAAGCTTCGACGGCGCATTGCAAAGCGTTTCCCAAAGCTTGATATGAAGAATAAATTAGGTTCTGAATGGCTAGGTGACAACACGGTGAAATGCAGGATCTGCTGGCAGAGTAGAGATAGCAAGTAAATCTGCCATGCAGGATTAGCCTGTACAAGAGCCCCCCTCCCCATCCTCCTGGTGTAGGAGAGAGTTGAGTGCCCTAACATCCGACACTAGGAACAGGCCTGGCCTGGATCATGCAGCTCTGCAAACGTGCAAGCGCCCGCTTCTGATGAACACAAGCCTGTGCATTGAACAGGTTAACAACTGAATCGCCGGGTCCCGCAGTGATAGGCTGGACCGCTTGCAGGGGCATCGGAACCGGTGCGGCAGGTGTGGCCAAAGTCGCAACAATAAGTTTAAATAGTGATTATTGGAGCAATGAAATCTTGTACTGTAAAGCAACTTATTTTCGCTGGCGATATCATTTCGCTGATTTCGCCGCTTTTTACCAACTGGCCAAAGTTGCAGGCCAAAGTTTGTCACCGAGGGAAATGATGCATGATTGAGGCATGGCTGCATGTGAAAGCAACACCTACCGATCGTTTCTTTCTAAACCCCAATCGGCCAAAGTTTGATGACGGCCGAAAAAGTTTCAATTCGAGATCGGCCAAAGTTTCTCACCAGCCAAAATTCGTTGATATACAGTAGGCTATTTTGGCATAATTTATCAAAACCTTTCCCAGGTGGAGTGCCTTTTCGTGGGTCTTTTCATAGCCATACAAATGTAGGATACCTTCCAATGCCCCTGGCTTGTTTCACCACTGTACTGTGTACAGCACATTTAGCACTGTGTGCAATGGCAAATTGTGCCAGCTAGGAGCTTGTAGCTGGTCAGATGAACCACTACATGAGCGAGTAATACTGACAGTACTAAAAACTACTAAAACAATCTGCGTGCACACACACAAGCACACGCACGCACGCGCACTCGCACACACACACACACACACACACAAGCGCGCGTGTACGCATGCATGCACGCACGTACACACTCACCACACACACACTCCCCCCCCCCCCCCCCACACACACACACATCGGTTCAACTAAAATAACACACTCCATACATCAATATTGCTCTAGCATAGCGCTCAGCATAACACAGTGCACCACATGATGCTGCAAGACTTACACTTCTTCTTGGGTTCCTTTGTCGTTGGCGCCTCCGCTCCGCTACTGAAAGTAGAATGGACAAAGGAGAAAAGAGAACGTACCTATAAGTTAGGAGTTATGACTACCAGTCCACCAAGGTAACGAGATGTATACTTATCGGCCCTTTCTTCTTTCCTTTTAAAGTAACACTATTGGCTCAACATCCCATTTTTAATCTGCATCAAGAAGAGGTTGAAGATGCATGAAAATGTTATGTGCATTCATTGCCAGTAGAGGCAGTTTGATATACTTTACAGGCAGAACATTCCGTCGGTCAATAATTTCGTCTACAGTCAACTTCGCTAATAACGACTGCGAATATAACGACAATTCGCGAATAACGACATAATTTTCATGCCCAGAGCAAAGTCCCATCCAACTGTTACACATAATGAGACTTCGGGTATAACGACACTTCGCGAATAAGGACACTTTTCTGATGCCCCGCCGAGTGTCGTTATAAGCGAAGTTGATTGTAACTCCAAAGAAAGGGAGTTCGTCCGGTTGTAAATTTCGTCCATGGATCATAACAGTGTATTGAAAAGCTGGACAAATCGACATTAGTCCGGCATTTAATTTAGTCCTAAAACTCCTCGGACGAAAAGACGCAATTAAATTGCAGACGAATATTTCTGCTGATACGGTGGTGCTCCAAACACCAGAGTGCTGAGTCCTGAGTGTTGGGTGGCACACAAACACAGGTGACGGGTGACTGCTTATGCATGTCAGCTCACGTCTCCATGCACTTGGGATGGTCCTCACACAGCGTGACCACTACGTCGTTGCTCGTAAGTTAGCGTGCCTTTACAACAGTAGCTAGCGTGCGAGCTAGCGTGCATGTGTGAATGAAAGTATGGCTCAGTATCATTATTATGCTGGGCAGGAGAAGATTCACCCGAACTCACTGCTATAAGCAGTGTAGCAGGACGGGGAAACCAATACAGAAAAACCTGTCAAGGCAACCACTCTGATAAGGCGACCACATGTTCTAGTGGACCACTACAACCAGGACCAGGGGATGTTATTTCCAGTCAAATGACCCTGGATAAGGAGACCACCTGTACACGGGAACCACATTTGTAAGGTCCCTTGAGCGGTCATCTTAGACAGGTTTCACTGTACCATGGATACTTGTGTGTAAATCAGTTATAGACTGGTGTTCACATCTTGGTCATGTGACTAAATGTGTGCACAAACTGGTCATGTGACTAAATGTGTGCACAAACTGGTCATGGCATGTTGACAGTGAAACCAACATGGCCGACATCGGGTGACCCATAGATGCGGGGGTTGAGCAGAGTTGGAACCAACATGGCTATCCCGCATTGTAATGTGATAGATGTTAAACAATTCAATGCAGGTCCTCCCCCCGCCCCCCTCCCACACACACCACCAGTTCTTCGGCAACACACGACACTGTACTGACTCTGCTTGTTGCTGTTGATGGCGTCGACCTCCGTGCATACCCTTCTGTTCCGACTGCCTGACCCCGCGCTTGACTGGACAGCAAAACATGCGCGTGTGTCAGAATACGCGTGCACGCACACACGTGCAGCGTCCACATACACACACACACGCATAACAGTTACACATGCGCGCACATACACATACACATACGCACACACACACACACACACACACACATACGCACACACACACACACACACACGCACGCACACACACAAATATGGCACTTCATGCTCTGCAATGATACCCATGTATGGCAAAGTACCATTGACCCCCCCCCCCACCCCAAGCTGCGACATTCTCCTTGTCGTTTTATATTCGGTTTTTCAGCTGGGGCGGGTGTTGACATGTACAAGTTGGTACAACTACACGAAAGATCAGGCTTGTCCTCCTGCATTGTGCACATTTCCATTCACCATGTACCATGTACCATGTATACGCGCGTCGCAAGAGAAGGACGCAAATCTGCAAATGCACTGGATGTGCAACCACAGATTTTCTCTTATAGCAACGATAGCGAACAAGATCTGAATGAGACAGATCAAGACTAGCGCCAGATAACTGTCTAATCCACACAACTGGCGAAGCCATGTGAATCGACCACCAATGCACACCTGGTCTACACCACACGGAGTACATCCATTCATATTTCACAGGCATACAGACACTAGCACGTATTGCCACATGTAGAGCATACGTCCGTTGACTGGACACCGTATTCATACGCATAACTGGACCTGAAGCCACTTCATCACAAGTAGACATTCGACAGGGACAAGAATTCAAAAGCGGGGCAAATCAACGGTACTTCGCATCAATTTTATCAATCACAAGCGCCCCATTCAGAAGGAAAACCAACAAATGTTTTGCCCAGGGCCTTCGACGGGATGTGTGTATGTGAAACACAATGATCAATGAATGGGTTGCAATGTAGTCTGGCCAACCTGGAAAGAAAAGAATCTCACGGTTTCACGTGACATTCAGTTCCTGTAAACCCGGAAACCATTTTCGCGGTCCGGAAACTTTGACGGTTCTTGCAATGGGTGTTAAATCGCAAAAAAAGTAAGCCGGCGCGAAACGTAGAACTGCCGTGAAGAAACTGAAGAAATTGACTCCAATCGCAAACATGTCCAGGTGCGAACTTGGCTGCGCTCGCAAATCGCGAACTAAACCAGCGCAAACGTTTCCAGGCTTACTGGACAGAGTTGGGTCTGCGGGCCGACCTGAAAACAGCTTCTGAATTCATGCTAGAATATGCCGTGCAGAACGGGCCATGACACGCAAGTGACCGAGTGGAGACTTGGACAGCCCGAATTGCCCAGCATGTAACCATAGCAACACACATTCTATGTGCTAGTCCATGGTTACCAGCTACTTTTGAGTGTCCGGAAGATAGAATCAATTTTTGTTCGACTTCCTTTTACTTGCAGGAAGAGTGGGCTGAAAACACTAAAAACGTTTCACTTTGAAAAGACAATCGGTAACCCCGGACAGCACCTTACCTGATTTCTCAGCAACTTCAACATTATCGGCTGGTAACCATTCTGATGGATCCTTCGCCCACTTTCGGAGGTCCTCCATTGGCGTTGTGTCGCTTCCACGCTCGTCCCGGAGCTTCACAGCCAAATTATGCTTATCACCACCTTTGACGTGAATCCCTACAACATAGCCAGTACGGGCAGTAGCAGCTTCGCCTTCTTGGGGCAGAAGGAAGACGGGCGAGCCACTTTGCCCACCGCTAGAGTCAACAAAGTGGTGAAGCTGATGGCCGTGCTCTGCAAACTCAGCACGGCGAGGCTTGTCAACCCAGTATTTGCGTTTCTCGGCCGTCTGACTCTCTTCTTTGCCATCGCGGTAGGTGTACACGTCCACTGGATATCCGCACATGCGGACGTCATCCTCTTCCTCCTGGCACTTGGTCGCAACGCCAAGAAGGTTTTCATCTACCCAGTACGTTAGCGGACACTTGCAGCGACCCTTCTTGGCTGCTATTATGCCATAGTCGTGTCGAAATGGGTCAGGATTGCTATTCTTCTCTGCATCCTTGGCATTCTTCTTGTACCAGTCAGGAACGATCAGCCAGCCATTCTCGTTCTTGCGGGATATCTTTCCCTTGGTTAGGAACTGGTCCTTAGATAAATCGCTGTAGATTTGTACCCAGAGCCAATGGCCGCAAACGGTGCAGAACAGATTATGTGCGGCAGTCGCGAAGATGTACTCCTCCTTGCGACAGTTCAGATCGCTGAGTAAGAAACACGTTCCTTGATAAGCCAGAGTTCGGTCTTTGTTGCAATTGTCGCAGCCCACCTCCAGGGCAAATATGGAATGAAAAGGACTGGACGTTTCAGCAGGTGGCTCGTTCACGGTTACTCGCTCGTCCTTGCCCGGCTTTAGGCAATTCTCTGCAGTTCCAGCCAGACCCGCGCCTGGTTGGGCAATGACAGAAGATTGCCTCTCCGCCATCGTGCGTATGCCGGTTCAGATCAAGGCTCAGTTCACGACTCCCTGCGCCGAAAAGTAACGCGCTACTACCGTTAGTTCGCACGTTCGCATGCCTTTCTTGCAATCTTGGTGTTTGCAGAGCGCATAGGCTAGCGGCAGCGCCCACTTGCACTTAGCTAGTCTTGTAAGTACTAGTACATGTACATGACATATTTATTAGTTAGTTGTACTAGTACTAGTAGTACGCACTTCAGTCACGTGACAGGACCTGTCAAAATAATTTGCCGAGGTGAGAGCTACTTGCGTGGCACAAGTCAAGTGCATGCGCAAAACTGTACAGGTACGCGCTATGCTTCGCTGTACAAAGCTGAGACTACAACTAAAAGGACCTTTCGCATTTGCTACGAAACGAAACGAAAGTTTGATTCGGCTCGTAATCTTTTCGTTGAAAACAGATTTCAGGTTTCGCAAGTCGTCATGCAAATGTGCATGGCAACTACGAATACGGCCGCGGGCGCCGGTAGTTTGGCGTACGGGTTTTTACACGCACAGGTACTGTAGGTGCATGGATGGATCATGGAATCAAGGGAAAAATGTGTACCTTGCAAAACATGTGTACCTATCCAAATAAATGTGTACCTGACGGATTCGGAGCGTGCCACGAATGAAGAGGCTTCCATTCGTGAAAACGAGTTCTCCGCAGGGCCAGGGACTCTGACGAATCCTCGAACCAAGGTGACGGAGTAGAGGATATAACCCGAGTCAGAGGGTTATACCGGCTGAATATAAATCCCGACTGCGATAGCAGGAGGGATTTATATGAGGGTACGGTATAACCAAGAGTACATAACCCCCCAGAGTGTGCAACGCCGATCCAGCTCTGTGTAGGGTCTTGGTCGAGCGGAATCGGATCTTCTGACGTCATGCGTGCACTTCACACCAGCGCAAGGCCGGTCTCGAGGCAGGGCACCATTGTTTTTGATCCAAGAGTACCCGCGACTCCCCGGGTTCCCTTCAGGTGTGTACGGTATTATGACGCAAAGATCCGATTCCGCTCGACCAAGACCCTATGCAGAGCTGGATCAGGCGTTGCACACTCTGGGGGGTTATGTACTCTTGGTATAACCCGACTACGAGGGTCATATCCTACTTATGCCAGGTACCCCTACGCATTTCCAGAACAACGAACCTATTTGGAGATCTCCTACATCATGCAGTACATGAACATCTTCTGATGGTTATCAGTTGTCAATTGAAAGAATGGTCGAGCAAGGTCAGAAGGAGATTCCTCCGTGGATGTTTGGCATAAGATTTCCTTTCAGTTCCAGTGCATATTGTAGCATCTTCATGATCTTGTCTTGAGTCGTGAGCGGTGCGGAAGTCGACTGAATTGCTGCGGTGCTGGAGTTTGTCGTTGAATCAAACTACCGTCACTAGTTAGATTACAGCTTGGACTCTTTGGGAGTAAGTGTTACTATAATTATGGTACAGTGCTGATTTTCACATGCGGCATCTCATAATCAGTTTTGCTTGCAAGTAGATGCATTTGCATACACTGTTTTGTATCACATTTCAATCCAATCTATTGTAGCCTTTTCCAATCGGGTTGAAGTACATGTACACTGGTATTATAAACTTATTTACGAAGGAGACAGTCCGTTGATGATCTTCAACTCTTCGAAGTACAATGTACATTGCTGACCCATTCGGGATACTTCGTGGTTATTCGACGTTCTTTATCCTCAGATTCAGTATAATAGAATACTCTGTAGACGAATTCCAGGTCATTCTTCTTTTCCATTGTGTACTGTTCCTCGTCAGTGTGCCGTTCTGTGTGGAGTGTACACGCGCATGTGGTGTCCGTTGTGTCTGTTTATGTATGGTCCGTGCGCTGGAGTACTGCCGCCGTACAAGTTCACTGCCTTTCAGGCAGTGAACATGCCTTTCAGGCAGTGAACATGTACGGTGGCAGTGCCCTAGCGTACGTACCATGATTTATACTGGCCAATATAACCATGGCTAGACGAGCGCTGATTGGCTGAAAACAGGCCCTCCGTACCGTACCATGGTATAATCAGCATTCGTTTCGTATCCGTACGCGGGGTGCGAAAGGTCCCTACTCAGTACTGTGATAGTGCGCATCGATGATGGCCAATTCCCACCTAAATCCACTGGCTCGGCCCTACTACCCGCGCTGCCAGGAAAAGCTAAACTTGTTCTCCATTAACTGCCGCTCCGTTCTCAACAAATCCGCAGAATTGTCAGCTGTTGCCGAGATCCACAGACCTGACATTATCTGCCTCAGTGAAACCTGGTTAGCTCCAAGTGTCGCTCTTAGTATCTCTGGATACACCACCTTTCGGCGTGATCGACCTCCTAACGAAAACAAGTCTGGTACCGCCTCCAGGGGATATGGTGGAGTCGCTATTCTCGTTCGTGATCATCGTTTCAGTTGTATCCAACTTCGCAACGACCTCAGTCGCCCTACCTGTGAAACAGTGTGGGTGGAGCTTAAACCTTGTTCCGGCTCCCCAAAGCCTATTATTGTCTGTAGTGCCTATCGCCCACCCTCTGCCAAAAGCACAGAGATAAATCACTTCTGTAACATGCTCACCGATGCCCTGGTCACTATCCCCATGTCCTCGTACCACGTCATACTGACTGGAGACTTCAACTGTAAGCACCAGCACTGGTGCCCAACTGACTCAACGTCCCCCGCGGGAGCTGCGCTCTACCGCCACCTCACCTGCTTCGGACTAGAGCAGCTTGTGAATACCCCAACGCACACAACACCTGCAGGGACCCAGTCGTGCTTAGACCTTCTTTTCGTCAACAACCCCCAGCTTGCAACGGATATTAACACGACTTGCGCTCTTGGATCCTCGGATCATCTGACCGTGTCATGTCGGTTCGAGCTCTCGCCATCGCCTGGCCAACATCTGCAGCAAGCACCACGCAAACATTTCCCTTACCGCTATCGTCATGTCCCCTCTCACTGCTGGGACTCTCTTAATTCCGATCTCTCTCATTGTGACTGGTCATTTCTACGCCCAGGCAATTCCCCAACTGTTGACGACGCAGTCGATCGATTTTCAATCGTCCTGGAACAAACCTTCCAGCACCACCTCGCTGATTTTTCCACCCATTCTTGTCGGTCAAACACACGCACATCGTCTGTGACATCCAATCCACCCTGGGTGTCGACTGTCCTCGTATCTGCGGTGAAACGTAAACGAGACCTCTTCAGTGTCAGCCGAAAATTTCCAACACCTGTCAATATGGAGGCCTACCGAGTTCAACGCAACTTTGTCAAATACCTATCCCGTAAAACCTACCGCTCTTACATCAGCTCCCTCTCTGCAACAATCTCATCACCCAATCGTCCTTCTCTCTATCAGTTCATTCGCACCCAGCGTCCCAGTGTCTCTCGCGCCCCAATCCAGTGCTTGATTGATCCTGATGGCAACCGTCAGTCTGAGGCAAAGTCCATTGCGGACACTCTGAACAAACAGTTTGTCTCTCCCGGCCTTCCCGACGATCCGAACTGGGTTATCCCGCCCCTGCACCCAGCTCCAGAGCTGCGCGCTCCACTTCTGGAGGTCTTTACAACAACTGGTGTGGTCCGCAAACAACTGAAACGTCTTAAGAGCTGCAAGTCTCCTGGAAAAGACGGTATTCCAAATGAAGTCCTTAAACTGCTGGTGCCTTCCTTGTCGTATCCCCTGTGCTTGCTCTTCAACTTGTCATATCGTGCAGGAGTCTTCCCATCTGCGTGGAAATCTGCTATTGTTGTCCCGATCTTTAAGAAAGGACAACGCTCCCAAGCTGTTAATTACAGGCCCATCTCCCTCCTACCAACTATATCCAAGGTCTGTGAACGCATCTTCTATGAATCTCTCTACCACCATGTCACCCCTGCCCTCTCCTCTGCACAATCCGGCTTCTGTCGTGGCGACTCAACTACTTTGCAATTGACACGCTTAATCCAGGATATTTACGGGCATCGTAACCTGAAGAAGCATGTAGGTCTTGTCTTTTTTGATCTGTCAAAAGCGTTTGATACAGTCTGGCATCGAGGCCTACTTGCAAAGCTTGAGTACATTTTTCTAGTACGTGGTACAGCTCTGCAGTGGCTGTCGTCATATTTGTCGTCCCGTCATCAAACTGTCCGTGTCTCTGCTTCCTTGTCCGATCCTTTACCTGTAGTGTCTGGTGTTCCACAGGGGTCCATACTGGGTCCACTCCTTTTCCTAACTTATGTGAACGATCTGCCCTCTCTAGTTCCAGACGTCAGCCTTTTTGCTGATGATACTGCACTGTTGTGCTCTGACAGCTCGCCGTCCAACCTCGTTACCTCCATGCAGACCGGCATTAACTCCACCATAGCATGGATGGAAGCTTGGAAGCTGAGGCCCAACATCGCGAAGACCGAAGCAATGTTCATCAGCCCATCGCCGCCTACTCAGCCGTTGCACTTTCCAGGAGCCAATGCTAACGTTAAAATTGTTCATGAACACAAACACCTTGGTGTTATATTCGACAGCCATATGTCCTGGTCCCCACAGGTCCAGTCAGTATGCAAGCGAGCTAGCTCCTCCCTTGGCATGTTGCAACCTCACTGCCACCATTTAAATGACCATTGCCGAAAATTGTTCTTTACGTCGTATATTCTACCTATATTTGATTACTGTGACACAGCGTGGTGCGGTCTGTCTCAGGCCCTTGTTCAAACTCTGGAAATACACCAGCGTCTGCTTCTAAAAATCCTGTTTCGCAAAAATCAAACATTCTCCTCCCAACGTCTCTACAGTTTAGCTTCAGTATCTCCCCTCTTAGAGCGACACCAGCAACATCTTTGCATCCTTGTACACATGATCTTATTAGACCTGGCTCCAAAACACTTTGCTAAGTATAACTGGTTTGTGTCCACCAGATCAACACGTCATTCCTTCTCATTACCCCGTGCTAATACCTCCCTGTTTCTGAAATCTCCTATCTTCTCTGCGTACACTCTCTGGTCTTCCCTGCCAACTAGCCTTAAAGCATGCACAGACATTAAGGAGTTCAAGCTTCAGCTTCTTCGTCCTAAATAATCTCACCATTTTCGT